ATAACACGTGTTTCGATCACCAGATGACTTATACGATCGTGGCCGGTCAAGGACTAAATTGGTCTAAATACAGAAATAGTCTAAGAGAAATATCGAACTAAACAAGCTAATCGACGAAACAAGTAAAAGAATCGTCAATCGTCAAGGTTAACAATGGAGAGAACAAATTATTAATCAATTGACTGAAGGTAATTAAAATTTTTTTAACATTCTATAAAAAATAAGTTTAATGAATTTATTGAAACTAAATAATATTTGTTCATCTTTTTGCAATATTGACGCGATTCTTATAATTGCTTTTTATCAATTAGCCTATAAAAATCATTTTTGCTTCGTTTTTCTGCTCTTCCACACTTTTTGCACTTGGACTATCCTACTTAAGGCACCGCCTCCCATCCGATACAGATCGATATCGCTATTTTCATTGCGTACCCTTTCGCATGTTCCATTGTAAATTTCAGTTGTTTTCTGAAAAATTTGACAACCATTAAAAGTTCTTAAGTTTCAAAGATTAAACGAGAACTATTATTTCTTCGAAACGCGAAAGTTGAAAGATGCTTCAAAAAACATTTAAGCAGAATAAAATTTCTAATACAAAAACCAAGGAAAAAACGGCTTATATACCAATCAGGTTTAGTAATTTTAAGCAACTACAGGAGTTAATTAACGACACTTGAGACTACAATGAAAAATGGTTACGTCGCACAAAATTGTGTGATTGGAACTTAGCCGAAAAAAAAGATAAGCCGACAAAATAAAATCAGACTAATGATTTTTTTCCGAAAAAATTCAATTTCGGACACTGAAAAAAAAACAAGATCCGGCCGGAACTGGAACCCCTGAAGTTAGGTTTGTTTAAAAGGCAAGCGCATTACCTCCAGATCAAGTTCGATGATTAACGTTTGACTTTTGAATTCATATGGATCAAAAATAAAAATGATGCAAGAGATTTTGTTAAAATAGTTGTTAACCCCAAAAAAAGTCTTATTCTGATTTGATAACGCTTGCTAATGGTAAACGCAATTATTGGAAACTTAAATTACGATTAATTTTTTCTTTCATTACTTTTCACAAAAATCCTATTGACGTGTGAGTTGTTGTATATAGAACAGCATGAAAATATGAATTTGTGCTCCAGAGAGATAAACTGAGCCAAAATGCAAAATATTTTTAAATACATTTGTTATCTAGTTTTTTGTTAATAAATTTTACATTACTTGGGCTCTCACAACTGTTTACTAATTGCATACAGCTGTCAAAATTCCAAAACCCTCGTTTAAATGACTGAGTACGATCTGAACAAGCCTAAGGAAAGCAGCTCGAAATTTGTAGGCCAAAAACATTACATCGAAAAACTTTGGCTGTTTTTGTTATTCCTAGCTGCAAAATTGTCTTGTCATTTTATCGCTTACATTGTCTCATAATCATTGAAACTAATATGCTGATAAATTGGACTATTCCATACTAATTTGGTCTTCACGTTTTACCCGTGAGGCCTTAGTTTTAAGAAACTTACGAAATTAAGCACGACCTGTCTTCTTGCAGCCATATTTTTTCAAAAGGACTCGTGTTAGTTGTTTCGGGTAAAAATTCAGTTCATAATCACAAGAGACTTGCTTTCTCAAATGTTCAAAAAACATTTTTTTTTTCAATTTACGGACGCTTAGGAAATTATTTTTATTGCTTTTTCTTTCGTCTGAATGACATTTCACTTAAATACTGGTACACAAAATTTCTGATTGAGCATACTGTTTGTCTACCAGCCAAGTTTCCTGTTTTTGTTCCGACTTTCGATACGAAAGTAACGGATTATTTGTGCTCGGGGTGGGTTTTTTTCTTCAGACAAAATTCGACTTTTTAACTAGCCATTTTTGACGAAGTTTTTTTATATCATTCGAAAGCTATTGTTGTCCTGAGCCTAAGTTTGAAAAGATATTTTATCTGTGATCATTTTTTGTAAAGTTATGAGGGTTTAAAGATTGTTATTTTGGCCATTTTGACCAATTTGGGACAATTAACGCGCGATATAATTTGCGCTATTAACGCGTAAGCGGAGATTTAATCCGTCTTATAAATCCTTCCAAATTGGTTGAAAGAAGCTTATTTGCCATAATTGATTTGCTACAAGGAACGAAATCTCGTGTGGGGGGCTGATTTTAATAGAATAATTTTCAAATTTCGGCGAAAAATTGTTTTTCATTTTATTTTGTTTCATTTAAGTTTTTTAATGTTGTTTTTGTTATTACTGCTCCATAAACTCTAAAAGGCAGTCGCAACTATCACGGCTTCGCCCTGATACGAGCAGTCTTGTTGTTCCGACTTTCGATACGAAAGTAGCGGAATATTTGTGCTCGGGGTGGGTTTTTTTTCTTCAGACAAATTTCGACTTTTTAACTAGCCATTTTTGACGGAATTTTTTTTATCATTCGAAAGCTATTGTTTATTCTGAGCTTAAAGTTGAAAAAATATTTCACCTGTGATTAAATTTCGTAAAGTTATGCGGGTTTAAAGATTGCCATTTTGGCCAATTTGGGACAAATAACGCGCGATATATTCCGCGCTATTAACGCGTAAGCGTAGATTTAATCCGTCTTAGAAATTGTTCCAAATTGGTTGAAAGAAGCCTTTTCGCCATAATTGATTTGTTGCAAGGAGCGAAATTTATTGTTTTGTACTTTATATGGCGTGTAGGGGGATGATTTTTATAGAAAAATTTTCAAATTTTAGAAAAAAAGTTTTTCATTTTATTTTATTTCATTAAATTTTTAATATGTTATTGCTGCTCCAAAAACGTTCAAAGGCAGTCGAACTTTCAAGGCTTTGCCCTGATACGAGCAGTCTTAATTTTTTAATTTTAAATTTGTCCGTTTTTCGTTTACAGCGTCTTTTTATCTTTGCAACCAGTGTCCTAAACTACTCATTAGCTCAACTTAAAACTATGTTATTTTCAGCTGTTTTAGTGATAACTACAAAATTTACTTGATATTTATGTGTAGTTTATCAAGTAAAAGTTCATGGAATTGCCAATTGGTTAATCTATAACGTTCTAGGAGTTTGAAAAACTTAAGGGTAGCCGGGAGAGATGGAAGTTCATGATTTCTTTATTTCGCTGATTTATACAAAATTAACAGTTTTAATGGAGAAAAATGAAAGAAAATACCTTAGTTTAGGTCATTGACAGCTTTCAAGTGAAACCACACAATCATTTTGAAAATCAATTTGTTTGTGCGCATTGTTCGAAATGCATATTTATACATAATTAAATTTCCAGGGCAGGACATTCTTTGTTAGGTCATGTAGGAGGAGTTTATACGGTTAATCGGAAACAAAATTACTAATATTCACAGAAAAGCATATCGGCTTAGACCCCCTTAGATTACAAGAATATTTTAAGATTGACACGTTTTCATGAAACTAATCCAATTTGAGAAAACTTGGTCAATAGCAACGTTTTTAAATACCTCTTGCATTTCTGATTACAAATTCCCATTTTTGAAACTTACAACTAAGAATGACTTTGCTACTATCTGCTTTGCATTTGGCAAAAAAATGAAATGAATTTAATAAAAAGTAAGAAAAAACACTTCGAAAACTTTAGACGTTTTCATGGCAAAATGCTATCATCTAAATGATTTAAGGGCAAAATAAAAAGCAAATTCAAATTCTCACTTTCTTAAATGTCCAATCAGAAAGACCGTTTCGAACAACAACCAATTTGAGTTTCGGAAAAAATTCAATAACCGATAGCAAATTATCCAAGCTACTTTTGGTAAAAGTATCATTTTTTGGTTTCAGAAAGTAGCGCGGTCAATTCACTGTCGGTGGATGTATTTTTTTTGAAACTCAAAAAACTTTTTCCTTAAGGTCCTTGCGATTGGACCTTTAAAAAAGTGAGAATTTGAATTGGCTTTTTATTTTGCCCTTAAATTTATTTAGATCATAGCCTTTTTTCATGAAAATATCTACAATTTTCTAGTGTTTTTTCTTACTTTTAAATAAGCTCATTTCAAATTTCTTTGCTAAAGTAGTAAAATCGTTCGCGGTCTCATGGAAGTTTCAAAATCGGGAATTTGTTATCATATAGGCAGGTGGAATTTAAAAACTTTGCTATTGACTAAATCATATGATTGTAACGAATTTGTAACATACGTATATCAGATCGTAACTGATAAAAATGAACCAGGTTTTTTGAAGATCAGAGAAGTTTTTAACCATTTGATAGGCAAAATATTTGTTTAAGTCTTAGAAAGCTTTTAAAAACTGTATGAAAAATGTAGGATTAACGGATTTTTTGAGTGGGGTAAATTCGGGTTAACAAGAAGTCAAGACAGAGCATTTTTTTTGTTTCTTCTGAAAACCGAAAGCACCATACTCACATGAAAAAGAAAACACGCAGAAATTCTTTCACGGTTTTTTCTGAAAGAGAGCGAGAAAACCATAGGTTTGCTAGTGGCTTGGTTTGCTTAGTTTGTGAAACTTTTCTTTACTTCTTGTCAGTTGGAAGGCGAATTCATTCTGCACAGAAGTTTGCCAAATTTCTTGGATAGAGCGAATCAGACTTATGCCGTTATGCCAGTACGTTTGTTTTTAACAAAGCGAAACAACCGTTTTCGCCGCCGTAAAAATTGACCCACACATATTTGCCAAACTGGTCCTGGTTCACAGGCTTGTTTTAGATTTACCTGTTGGGTTAAAATGTTTTCTAATTTGAGTTCTTCCATTCGATTTTCGAGAAAATTTAGTTCACGTTGCTATGTTATATGGCGCGTTGCTTTGAAATTTGATCGGTCAAATGAAGCTTATTTCAGTTGTTTTCAGATTCCGAATTAAATTGTGTGGGGTAAAATTTGAGCCATTTCTGCACACCTGTATAGGCGATATATTTTATCAGGTGATTTCGGCGACAACAAGCAATCCTATCACATTAGAGTAAGGAAAAGCAAAGCGAGGCGATTAGAAGGTAATAAATGAACTAACATGGTAGTATTGGAAATGTAGGTTAGTAGGTAAGTTGACCTAGATAAGACAAAAACTCTCTGGCAAACTTCACTCTTGAAATACTGATTGTATCAAAATAAACGTCCAGTAAGTCACCTTCGCATTTTTATTTCGCTTTAAACACAGCTCTAAAACAGTATTCCAAGTGAAATTGTCGAATTCATTTCTCAGAATGGGTGGCTTTGAAAAGAATGATCTACTTGGATGTTTCACCGACTTCAAAGTGTGTCTCTGTGTGTTTTTGGTCCCTTGCTACGTTCAAGGTCAGTAATTGTATTTTTTTTTGTATTTAATGCCAATTTTTTAGCAATATTTGTGGCATCAAACAATTTTAACGGTGTTTTTTGGGTTAATTATTTTTTCTGAAACGGTTTTTGGCATTGAGTGGAAAATTATAAATGTCTGGCACCAAAAAGAGCAGTTTTAGGTTAAGTAACCTCGATAAATTTTTTTGACCAAAATTGATTATAGTTATTATTAGGCTGGCAGTTACTATATAAGCACTATAATCTATCCATTTTTTGACATTTTTCGATCAACCGAAACATTCTCGAAATTAAACCAAGGAACAAATTAAAGGTTATCTGTATTTATCCCACTAAAAAGCAATCTCTTGAAAAATTGCTAGCACGAAAAGAAATTAAAATGAAAATGAAATTTAGGAACGGGCGAAATAGAGCTTCGCGCCACTTGCGATACAAAAATAAACAAAACAGTTGACACGAAGAAAAACAAAATGAAACAAAATCTGAAAAAAAAATCAAATTCGAAACAGCACTATCAAAAGAACCCGTTGAATGAGATCAGACAACTTCAGTGATCATTTGCCACTTTTTCACTCTTTAGTCGGAAACATGAAACCAAAATTTAACTGTACGCCCAGAAAAAAGCTCATGCAACGCTTTGTATAATCTCTTTGAAAAAAATGATGGCAAAACTTCAGCCAAGAAGACAAAAAATCTGGAAAACAAATAATCAATATGAGCCAGCTACCGTAAGATTCAAAATTTTCAAAAAAAAGGAGAAAAAAGTAGAGTGTCAAGGTAGCTCAAACAAAAATGTGACATTGACAAATCATTATTGCAAAGAACTCAAAAAAAATCTTGAGAAAAGCAATCATAAAACTTTCGGGCCATTTCAAACAAAAAATTTTAAGGCAAAAGATTTAGAGTTCGAATAATTTGTTTTCAGCAATGATGAAGTTAAAAACTAGAAAACCAGATTTGCAAGAAAATTGATAAAATTTTAGAAATTTAGCCAAAAACAAATTAACCGTAAAATAAACTTTCGAGCAGGGGTGGGTTGGGGGGGGGGGGGGGGGGCGGACGTCTCTTTCTCAGGGATTCGACCCGCTTTGTACTATTTTGAGACATCCATTGCTGGCTAAAAATTTCTAATGGCGCCTTTGGCCAAAAAGTGCCTAAAAATTGTCCAAAAAGTGCCTAAAACACCTTTTTTTGGCCTTTTTTCAAAACATTGCCTGGGGCGCAGAAAATTTGGCAAGAACAGGGTATTTTTACTGCTCTGGGAGAGCTCGGAAAATCAATTTGGTCGACCTAGAAAAAGTCGCTAAAATTTTGAAAAATTTTTGAGAAACCGCCCCTCGAGAAAACCCTCGATCAGCTCCTGCCTTCGAGTATTTGTTATTCGATATCATAGCTAAGTCCGGAATGCTCCTCGTGCCGTTTTTTGTGTTAGATAAAACAAATTGATCCATTTTAAAAAAAAGTAAGTATTGAAAATCTTGCCCCATACGCATTTTTGAGCACTGAATAATAAATGTTATGCATAATATCTCATTATTTATATTAATCGGCTGCATTTTTCCTTTGAAACACTGTTTGCACAAATTCCATTCACCGTCTATGCAAAAATGAGAATTTTAGCAATCTAATTAACAAATTTTGACAAAAATTCCAAAAAGAAGGTAAGGAAAATAAATGCGAAAACCAGGATTCCAAAAAAAAACGACATTTCAATAAGTTTCATTCCAATAAGTTTCATTCCAAACTTTTCTGAGTGCATAATGTATACCACGTTACTTTGCTTAAGATGCTAGTTTACACGCTGTACTATAAAACACAGTTGGCATTTAGAAACAAAGGAAATTAAACCGACTTAGCTTGACAAACTTATCTTAGCTTTACACCTTATTGGTACAAAAAAATCCAAAAAGTTTTCAGTGTGTAACACAAACCATATACTCTCATTTCAGTTTCAAGTAAATCAACCATTTAGCTTTTGCATAATTCAAGCTAGAACTTGGTCATCTGTAATGAAGTCTTTAACGGAAAAAAGTCTAGCACCCTGATGCATTATTATTGATAATCACAAGGTTAGTAAAATTTTTATAATTATGCAACCAACAAAAAATGTTTTTATAAACTTTAAACACAGAGGCAAAGGCAAGCTTCGAACCACTTGCGATGGAAAACAAAAAAAACAAAAAAAAAGAATGTTGAAAAAACAACAGGAAACAAAATTTGTGTATGTCTCGATAAAATATAACTAAGGGCCCAGCTAGAGCCGGAGGTTGGTGTTCTGATAACTTTGTTCTACCGATGTGTGATGAAGTGGTTAATTTCAAAAAGTGGACTTAGCCCCAAACCTTAGTAGTTTTTTCTAAAATAATGAGGTTGAAACTTTATGAGAAAATGAAATCTTCCCAAAGACATAACATTTTTCTTACAAACAATTAAGAGAGGCGGCTTCTACAAACGGTTTATTTGATTGAACACTTAATCTCAATATTGACAGGGTACTTTATAAGAAAACCCAATAAGCTTCTAAAAAACGTTCAAAAGTTCCAAAACTTGACTTTCTGGGATCAATAATTTTTTTTCTGCAAAAAGAAGGTCGTAGCGTCAAGACAAAACTAAATATTTGTGTTTTCGCCTATAAATTGAAACTTTGTTTTTCATTTGCATGTTTTTTCTATTTTCAGTTTGCTATTTCTTGATATAAAAAGCCTGCTCTTCATCAATATTTGTCCTCTTAAAAACAACTCGAATTAAATAAAACTAGCTCTACTGAGTGTTCCAAAAGTTTGTTATGAGATCAATAACATCCATAAAAATTAACGAAACCGAGATAAACACAGAGGCGAAGTTGCACTTCGCATTCACAAGCGAAAAATTGACCGATAATGCTGCTGGGAAAAACTAAATGAGTATTATTTTGATTCTATAAAAATTTTTAATTGACGCACGCCAATTATGAGTCTACATAAATGCTAAGTGATGCAAGCCAATTATAACGCATTAGTAGTACCAGTCAATTTGACAAAAAAAACTTGCCAACTAACAAGCCTCAATTTATAGAGCGAAGCATTTTTATTACTATACGAAAAAGTTCATTAAAAACATCCGACTCTGCCCAGGTTCAAACCCTCTTTTTTATCGCGGTTCTCCGTCCCTACCTTTACGCTAGAGATCCATGATACTTTGAAGCTAAAGAGCTATTTGTAACATCTTGGTTCGTGTTATTATCCTTAGTATTCTTTAATTATTAGCTGGTTATTTAACAAATCGAATTCTAAAATTTGCGACTTAGCTTGGAAAAAAGAGAGTTCATACTATCACACAAACTTTGCTTGTAAAAATCATCTTAATGTTTTTTGGAAAAAAAACTTTTTGGGATAAATTTTTTTAAAACTTTTTAAAATAATTTTGGTAATATTTGGCTGTTTTTATATTAGATGACAAAATTTTATAAGGCTATTTTCCCCCGAGCTTAAGAAAATTCAAAATCTAAAACGTTTTTTTATAAGAGTCTTATGTCTTACAAAAATCGGCTCTAAGGTTGTTACAAGAAAACCGTAAAAAGTTCTTAGATACATCATCATTCTTTTGCATGAAATCAAGGAAATTTAATCTTAACTATGTTTAAGTAAATTTCAGCTGCGGCTACTGGCGGTAATAAAATTTTTTATTTGATTTACTTTGATTCAAATGATAACTTCAAAAAAAAATTAGATTTGTTCGAGTTCATCTTTCATATAAGCACATCACACTAAGTTTTCAGGCGTTTTAATGTCTTTTTTATGTAAATATTTGGGTTCAAGGTTTGACGTGGAGTTATGGTGATTTGGCCGTATGTTTACGTTTGTCTGAAGCTATTAGTTTTGAAATTTCGCGACGCTTAGTCGTTTTACAGCTGACACTGAAAAATTTCGGGTCCGCGCAAAGTCAAGAAAGATGCGATAAGACTTTGAATTACAATTTCTTTGTGAGACAGTCAAACTCAAATGCGGTCTTTGTTCGGGGTTGTGCCTAGTGTCTATTGTCGCCGTAAAATCGAATGCCATCGCTGAATATTTTGCGTGAATTGCTTACTTCTGACCGAGTTCTTTTTTTCCAAGTACTAACAACTTCCAGTCCAATTTTTGGATCTGGCTCGAACATTGGCACATAATGCATCTTAAAATCGACGTTGAGTTCCAGAGGGTTCGGGATCCAACCTTAAGCGGCCATCAGTTAGGTTTGCAACATATTGAACTTTGGTCCCATTTCAACCTCAAGTTACTGAATTCTAATAGGGCAATTTGACTTCCGTTATCAATCTACAGCCCTTGATAAGACAAGCTACGTCATTCAACACTCTGCGAAAGAAGCGACAAAATAACAAAAAATCTTAGCCAGGAATGAGAGGAAATAAACGAAACGGATCCAGCTTCGACAGTCCTGATAGCCTTTCATAAATTCTCTATGAATTGCTGAAACCCGTTTTAAAAACAAAAAAGTTTCGATTTCCGGAGAACTCTATGAAAATGTTCAGAACTGACCAAAAAATTCAGTTCTATTTAGGAAACAACTTCGTTTTATAATTTTCTTCATTTATAAGAATGATAAAATAACCATTTAACCTCCACAAAATAAATATTTGGTTTTAAAATACTCCAAAGGTTCTCAGTTGTCTGCTAAGCTTCCTTGTTCCGATAATTGAAAATAATAAGTTTTGTCGTCGTGGAGATTTTAGCTTGTTGTTCACGCAAAATCAGGTGCCCAACATCATCATCGGAATGGTTCGAGCGATACATCATAATAAGACAATTTCGGTTTGGATTCGATCATTTCAAAAACTTGAAAAGGTTTTCCCATTGTAATAAAAGCCGGTTTGAAAACTTTTTTTGTCTAATTTAGAGCGAGTAAATTGTGCGAATAGGAATTGGCATTTAAATTTTTTCAAATAATCAAATAAAAATTCTAGTGAAAAATAAGAACTTTTTTCCTCATTTTTTTTCTCGAAGACATCTGTTGTCGTTTATGTAATTCATTAGTTCTATACGTTTGTATGGTTGTACACCACGCTTAAAACACGACACTAACAAGAAAAACATTTTTTTTTCTGAATGTGATGAGAACATTCTGTGCTACTTGCATAGTAACTGGCTATCCTCGTTTTCTTTGAACTTACGTTTTCTTTGAACTTACATAGGAGCATACAAAAGTAGTTCATTCCTTATCGGCTACTCATTCAAATGATTATCTTTCGGGTGATGCTGCTTATCGCACCTTAGAATAATCTCAATTGCTAGTCTCGTATTGTGATTTCAGGAAAGATTGCTGAGACCCTGGGCAAGAGCTGTCTGCTCCATACCCTCTGCTTCTTCGTGCCCATCTTGAATATAGTAGACGCTACGTGCATCCGCAGTGAAGTAAATAGTTCCCCTATTGTATAAATTCAAAACAGTAAATATCTTAGAATCAGTACCTTTTGATTAATCTTTTCAAGCCCTAAAGCTAAAAAAGAAAATTTTATTGACTTCAGGGGGCGACACCCCGTTCATCATCAGGAATTCGATACTACTGCCAACCAAATGCCCCCCTTGGTACTATCTCAGTTTCGGTGTCTGATCAATCAACCCTTAGGTTCTTTAAAACACCGAATTTAGGCTAGGGGTAAGAGCCCAAAAACAGCTTTTGTGAGATCTTCCAAGTACCCAAAACAGCATTGTTCTACGTTTTCTCATATACTTGGAGACACGGCAATTTTCGAAAAACTTCAGAGAAAACGCCCCCTTCATGCGTGAAAATCCTAGAACCTCTCTTGATTGATTTAGTCGGTCAACTATACTAACATGGTGGTCTTGATAGTTAAAATTACACTGGAAAAATATAATCTAAAAGGGAGTTTTTGAGCGAAGCTCTTTTTTGCACTCCAAGGTCGTTTTTCATGCTTTTAAACCATTCAAGTTGTACCACTTTTGCTTCATTAAGAAGTCAAACTCTGCACCGGATTGGCGCACAATTTGATGTGCGTACGCTTCTGGAATCCAGAAACAAGTCTTTAAACATGTTAAGATTTCGTCGGAACGATCGAAGAACACGAAAGAACAAAAGAAGATCCAAGAGATTGTTCTTATTGCGGAATCCGCTTACAATTTACAGAAAAAAAAACAGTTTGGCCTCGTAATATTGGATGTTGCATTTCAGGCGATAGGGGAGAATGTTATATTGAGTTTCCTGGTGATTTCCATGTGCTACCACTTGGCCATCTGCCAAGAAGCCAGAGTGAAGGGGGCAGACCTGATGGCAGGCGACCAGACAGCTGTGGCCATGGACAGAGCCTGAATAAATCTCCAGTCAGAGAACATGAGAAACGGAGAGAATGTATGCTAGAGACAAAGTTTATAAGTCTAAAACTGATATATGATCGCTTAAGTTAACTAATGCAAAAAAAGCTATGCGATGGATTACATTAGCAATCAATTAAAAGCTAACACTCGCTTCACTTGAGTTAAAATATAAGTCAAGAGTATATCAAAAATTCAAATGTTCCTTCGCATAAATTTCAACTCAATTTACTTAGACTAATTTTATAATCTCAAAACTGAATAGCTTGAAAAAAACCGACTACTTGGAATTAAAATGATCTCTACTTTTGAACCATTAATATTGTAATCCATCGCCAAATTAATTATTTTATAATGCAATTACGTAATAAACTAACCAAAATTTACTTGATGAATTTACAAGTATGAAAGAGATTAAAAAAAAACACGAAGAAAAACCCTGCATGTCTCGAAAGCTTCCAAAAAAAGACATCTACGGGATTCGAACCCCGATAGTCATAGCTTGCATCAACTACATTCAGAACTGCACGATATCGCCGCTTCCAGTCACGAGACAAAACAAAGCGGATATAAACATAGCTTCTAAATTACCACCTAGCATTTGAATCATACGCAGATGCCGAAATTTAACACAAAAAAAATTGAGCGTTAATTTGTCACAATTCGGTTATTAGGTACAATAAAATTTATTTTTCCTGTCCATTTTGGAAATTAGAAATCATTCAATTTTTACTTTAGATGTTCGCTTGTGGAGTTTGCCTTCATTTCAACTAGGAAAATGAACTAAATTAAGTAGTCAAAATCAATTTCGAGCGCAATTTTTTTCTTTTAAAATAAACAAAGAAAGTCATCAAGACTTATTTGAATGAAAACCATTTCGGTCGTTTACACAATTAACAAAGAGGAAAATACACAAAATCAGGGCTAGTAAACGTACAAAATCCAAGATTAAATCAAAAACTTTGGCAACGAAATGAGATTTGCTCACAGTAAAATAAGTTTTTTAAACGTGGCAACTAAGCCGACAAAACAATCAGACAAACGGTAGGCCAACAATGTACTGGAAAAGGACTATCTAAGCCAGGTGCGCCGTGAAGCCTAGAAGTTTAAATTTATAATAGATCAAGCTACTAAATGATTCAATTGATTTAGTAAAACAAGTGATTTTGTTGTTATTCTGAGAACAGTCTTTATTCTGATTTGATGACGTTTGCAAGTCGCAAGCGTAACAAACTCTAATGCTTAATTCTTTATGTCGAGAAAAATTCATGATAATCGTGCATTCGATTTTTAGGGAAAAACCGTAAGCTTTATGGATACAGATGTGAAGAATAAATAGAAATAAGCCTCGAATTAGTTAAAATTTTGTGTGTCCGATTCAAACCTAAGACCTCGATTTTGGGAACCCAAGTTCTCGCATCTGCGCCACGGGCCCTTGAAACTTTGCTAACATTAGCCAACAATGATGCAGCTATAAATGCTGATTAATCATCAATGCTATGCACGAAAAAACCACCACTAAATGTATATAAAACTAAGGCTAAAAGTGGCGTTGAACTTCCGACCAGTAGATTAGGATTCTCACGTCCTTCCATTTGTACCACGGTCGCTTAAATATCAGCAAACACTAGCCACAAATAAAGCAGAGATCAGATACTATGAAATTTTACAGATCGTGATTATAGCAAAATGCAACCACATGACCAAAATAACGATGTGGATTCAAATCACACGTCAGAAAAACGCACAACAACTGAATATGCGTGGTGCCTGACCAAGAAACATTTATCCTAGAAAAACCTTCGAATTGATTGCGTCAAAAAATGTTTTCAGTCAACTGTTTTTTTTTGAAATCTCAATACAATTTCTTATTTTGATAGGGTAATTGAAAACAAGAAGACTTGCGGTTTTGTATCGCAAAGTTGGCTCAAACCTATTCCACGTTAATTTCATTTTGGTAGCACGGTATTGGGTACAAGTATGATAGAGGAGTCCCCTTAAAACCAAGTGTGAGAGAGGGGTCTCAAATTACCTTAATTTCAGGCAAATACGTCAATAAACTAACTCAAAATGCGCCGGTCGCTCGTTTTAAAACATTTCTCAAGCGTAAATAACCTGCCTCATTCGCTCAAACTTATACAATACTTCAATTGGCATCATCAAAGCACTAAATTGAACAATTTTGAGGCACTATATTTACATTAGGAACCGGGTTAGCTTCTTGGGATCCCTCTATCACACTTGTACCCGGTACTGAAGTCAGTACGTAGGAAAAACATGAAACTACAATTGATTCTTTCTTTGAATATGAAAAAAAATACAAACTGAAATTAAACTACTTGAATCAAATACTAATTACGCAGTCTTTCTAATTTATACTACAGTATTAGGGAGCTCAATCTTAAATATTTACGAGGATTTAATTTCATAAAACTTCCAGTTTATCTTTGTCTTTCTATCTCCGTCGTGTACCGCCAAAACCAGTTGCGTTCCGGGATCCTCCAGAAAATCCAGCTCCACTCGAAGACTGTCCCGATGATGCTCCTCCAAACCCCCACGAAGATCCATGAGATGGTCCTGGACGACTATAGTTATGAGTTGCATAGTTATTTCCATAACCACTGTTCCTGTTTCCTCCAAACATGTACCCCATAAGTCCTCCAGTCGCCATTCCAGACCAGAAACCAGGTCCATTTTGGTTAGGTCTACGATAAGCTCCAGCACGATTGTTGCCGCCAAAATTGAAGCCAGGATTCGAAAAAGAATTACCCCCGCATGTGTCGCCACCATCAAAACCGGGGTCGCCATAGGGTGGGGGCCTGGGCCCTTGATCTGGAGGATGCCATCCCATTCCTCCCCCACCGCCACCTCCCCCTCCAGGGTACCCTGATGATCTGCCGCTAGAACCACCTTCATCGCTACCAGGCGTGCCAGAAGAACACATCCACAAAACAAACATTATAAATCCCACACACAAAATCAGAGATCCGAATCCTGACAATGCACTTGGTACTTCATCGTTACTTCCTTTGTGGTTGTTGGAATTGTAAGAGCTTCCTTGGTATCCGGAGTGCGCCCCAGGGTTCACTAATTCCAGAGCGTATTCCAAGCCGCATGATCCTTTCAGGACGTAGGGATCGTCAGGGTAATCATAGCCTTCACAAGTAACAATAGTCTGACCAAACCTAACTGAGTTGTCCAAATCGGCCGAGCATTTCCATTGTACATCGAACCCGTCTGATCCTTGGTTGTAACATTGGGCAGATGATGGTTTGAAGGAACTCTGGCCACAAGCGGATCCGGAAATACAAGTCATTTGAGGCACTGGACGGGATCTGCGACCAGTAGTGTAGGCCCCATTGTGGAACGAAAGAGTCTTGATATCTGTAAGTCTGACTTTGTCCGATGATAAAGCTGGAGTTAAAAACTGGCAGACGAACAATAAAAAGGTGATTTGCAAGCTCGGCATTGTATGCCAGCGATCTATTGTAATGGTTAAAATCATTTGTAAATCTGAAAAGTAGAAAAAAAACTTCATATGTTGGGTGACTATCCACAGAATCTAATGATTTACAAGTCCAAATAGTTTTTATAGTCTTAATTTCGAAAAACATAAATTCCGTTACCAAAAAAAAAGAAAAATGCATCGTCGTTAAGCAGCCTTTTTTCAATTATTCATTTTTCTTGGCATGTTAATACTCTTATCAGGTTCAGAAGAATGAACGCTATCAAAAGAATAAAAGTCCTCCGATTCAAGACTAAAACAAAAGAGTTGAAAGGACCTCGAAACACAAAAGGAAAATATTAATTAAGCTAGCATACAAGAACAGAAATCATCCAAAATCAAGTCAGTTTTAAATGCTCCTTTCAGTCCTTTCTGCTTCAATCGACTAAAGGCGCAAACCTTTTCTGGCCTATCTTCATGTAATTTTCTCTTTCCTCTCCACTCATTTGTGCGATATGATCTTGTGCCACATCATCAAAGGGCATCTGAACTCCATTTACAGTCACAAAGTCAGGCTCAGCGTCATTTTCATCCTCGTCATCTGAACTCATCATTTCTTCATTGTCGTCTGGGCAGTTTTTGTCTCGCTGGTCCATTTTGGAGCTTGACTTTCCCCCTTCTCCTCCATCCCCATTCGAGTCTGAGTCACTTTCTGATGAGTCACTATTGTCCCGTGACTTGCTCTCGGTTTTGCCAACATCCACGTTGTTGATCAAAGCCTGATAAAAAAAAACGATCATTCAAAAAATAAAAATTCTACTAAAAATTCTAATAAAAAAGTATTAAAAATTAGCCCGATTTTTTTAAAGAATAGCTCTAGTAAAAAATAGAAAAATCAAGGAAATAAAAAAAACTTGCTGAGAAAAAAAAGGGAGACCTAATTCAGTCATAAACCATCGCAATAGTTTCTTCATGCCGGCTTCTATATTTTCTTTCAAAAAACATGTATTAAAAACTTGAGATGCTTTCGCAATACAGGGTGGGGTTAAATTTCACAATTATATAAACAAGTTGTGACAACAAACTCAACTATAAACTCGATGATATTTTATTACATTATATTATATTATATTATATTATATTATATTATATTATATTATATTATATTATATTATAATATATTATACTATATTATTATGTTTCTCAGGTGCTGACTAATATTCACTACCTTGAACTAGGCCTGACTTCAGCCTTGATTTAAGCCTTTTTTAAGTAAGGTGCTGACGAGTAACTTCAGCCTTGACCTAGGTTTAGAGGTTTAATCCTGATCATTACTCTCGACCTAGGCTATTGTAGAAAACGTGTTTGCGAGTGATTTCAATACCTGATTTTGGTTTGCTTTCTGTCTGTTGGTCGACACAGCTGACAAATTCACATGCGACATGGTTTTATTCTCATGGTGCATTAGTGTCTTCTTAATGTGATCTTCATCCAGAACTGAAGACGACTGACTAATTGCAGTGTTCCCTGCTGCACCTGCTCTGGACTGTCTTTGAATAAATAGGTCTCCTCCGGATTGAGAACTCTTCGCAGTAGATGTCTGGGATGTCGACTTGGACTCTGTTGCACTGGATTTGTCAATATTAGATATGCTGGATCCAATGCTGGCACTGGTCATCCAAGCCGGGATCTCTTTCGGACCTAAATAGGAAGTATTTACAAATGCAATAACAGGTTGACATTGAGACACCATAGCAGTGATTTCTGCCGAATCCCACTTCGGTCACGCTTAGAGGGGTCTCACTGTCATCCGCATCCTCAAGGTGGGACCGGCTGCGGCAAAATGGATGACATCTCTTTCACCCACAGAAAAAAGCCCAAGGCTGAATGGTGATAGCTGGGCTAATAGAAAGTGAATTCTGCCTAGCAATTTTCTGAGTAAGGGTTCCAAACTTCGCGTGCGCTGCAATTTAGAAGTTGATCTATTGTAATTAAGCTAAGCTTAAACCTGAGAAGTAAGATCTCTGTATAATTACCTAAACAAAACAATGCATCTTAAAAATAAAACAATCATGATTTTGATTTAAAAAAGTTAAAACAGTAAAAATTTTATTTATCAACACACGGAAGGTCAACGACTCCGGACAGCAGCTATGAACATAAAAGATCTGTCTTCGATTTAAATATTCTCATCACCCGTCTTAAAGTTGAATTTATCTTATTTACGCAAAAAACGTATCCAAAAGCAAAATACAACAAGGGTGCCCGGCTGCTGTGCAAAAAGCACAGAATGTTCCAACCATAGTAAAAAGAAATACATTGAAAACTTTTTCATGTTCTCTTTTTCAAATTAGTGTTGTTTTTCTGCGTGGTGTGATGAAAAGATCTGAAGAAAACCTGAAATTTAGGTATATTTGACAGTCACAGTAAAATAGGCGAATCGGGCAAAAATGGCGCTAAAAAACTTCAGAAAAATTTTCAAGGCTTCTCTTTCTATAACAAGCCTGCCTGCGAGCTTGCTTTAATCGCTCGAAAATAGAGTCAAGCTCAGAAATTAGAAACCAGTTTTTCTCGACACTGGGACAACTTAAATTTTAATGTCGTTCGGTTCAAGATTGAAGGGGGGCTTTAATATATATCATTCCTTCAATTAGGATGACTAATTGTTTTGAATTTATTGGTTGAAAAACAAAATAAGCCTGCTCAATCACCTATTCACTCGAAGTTAAATCAAAAATTACAAACGGACATCTCTCGACACAGAAAAAAAAATTTATAAATTTTTCAATATCGCTCGAATCACAACTGAAAGATTTTTAATAGGACATACCGCTCGACCCATTCCGATGATTACTGTGGTGCCCGATTTTGCGTGTAAAGCAAAAAAAAAAAGAAAAAATTAAATCACACCCGAATACAAAGTTCCTCCTCATTTTTCAAATGTCGGAACATTAATTCCTCAAATGATTTTGTAGTACAAAAGCAACAGCTATATATTGCATCGAGAAACTTTGAGAGCAAATCGCGACACGCAGTGTCGATATGTGAACAAAGTTCGAGATGCAGTATAAGCTGTTGCTCATCTGGTATGAAACACATGAAATAGAACAAAACACACTCAATTGAAAAAACTTTCACGCTAATACGCGATTTTTTCTTTCTAATTTGTTTCAGTTGATTTCTCCGGGAAAAATATTGCCTTAGTGTTTCAACTATTGCGCTAGTATTTCAAATATTGGACCAGTGTTTCAAATAATGAAGTAGTTTTCAAATATGGCACCGAAACAAATTAAACTCGTGTGTTTCATGTTTAAAAAATACGTACCTTTATCAGCATCAGCATTCGCATCTGCCCCCAAGTCCACTGTGATGACCCTGTTGCCCACTCCTCCTGCACTTCCGTTCTGCCCCCCTTTCTCTCCCATTCCCATCCCCTCCTCATCCTCCTCCCCTGCTATTCTGGGCTCCAAAATCTGCTGGGACAGAGTGTACTGTTCAATCTCCTGCAGGATACTGAAACACCGAAGATCAATCAATTGCTCTTTGTCACCCCATTTCAATTACTCAACCCGGATCCTATTCGGCCTCATAAAACACCGTAATATTGATGTTTATTCGATGGCTAGGGGCTATAGTAGAGCCGAGAAAATTAAATTATCACATAAGAATAATAACAAGCTAGCGAATAGAAAATGAGAAAATAACAAAATCGCAAACAAAATTTAGTAAAAATGAAAATAATTCCGTAAAAACAAACCAACAGTATCTAAAAACCTTTTAGTATTTTTTGCAAGCGTAAGAAATACTAAGGGAAAAGAAAAGTCATAAAAAATTTGAGCGATTAAAAAGTTTCAACATTTAAACTTTATACTACCAACCGAAATGATTTCTTCAAAAAAAAACGAATTATCAATTTTCATCCCTAGACCGATGCAAAATAAGTTCACTAAACTGACACAACATGAGCCGAAATCATGTAGGCGGAATCAAACTTCTAAGCGAAAAAAAAACATAAAAAAAACAAACTTTAAAAAAAATCTGAAAACATACCTGTCAAGGATAGTACAGTTTAAAAACTTCAGAGTTGCTTCAACAAAACTTGCAAACCAAATTAAAAACTGGTTACAGCGCAAACAAAATTGTGGTGTGGCAGCTAAGCTGACAAAACAAGCCGACAAACTAAAGTCCGATTATACAATTTTTCTCGGAAAGAAAATTCAATTTCAGAAACCTAAAAAGATCCGACCGGGACTCGAAACCATAGGTTGCAAAGTTGCTACAAAAAAACAAGTTTAGCCCGGGAATCGAAACTATAGAGTGCATAGGCAACCACATTACCTCCAAGCCAAGTGAGAAGTGGCCTGGAAGTTGCTAAGAACCGATAATACAGGAACGTGCATTTTAAATACAAATATTTAAGGAAAACTGTTTACAGAAAAAGTCAAAATCCCGATTACATGACACTAGCTCTCGCAAGTGTAAGAATAACAACAATAATCACAAAGAATTGTTTTCAATCTGATAAAAAGAAAATTTAAATGAAACAAAAAGACGCAATACTATCGACTCACAATGAAAAGGGGGGACGATACTAGACCTGATTTCAACAGCTTCAGGCAGAAAAAATTGAAAACGCGCGTAGCAAGATACGTAGCGGCTCGAAAAATTACATTATCTGCTTGAGTTTTAGTTTCAAACCTTTCAGAAACCTTAAATCGCCCTTTTATCCAAGATAAAATTTTCTAGAAACTTTTGGTTCAATTTCTGATTTCTTTTTTGCTATTTTGAGGAACTCTAGCTCATTTGGAAAAACTGTTAATCGTTTGCCAAAAAAACGTAGAACTAGGTTAAAGTTCTGTCTAGCTTTTCTTAAAGGCGATTTTTTAAGATTTTGATGTTTATTCAGTGTTGATTTGTGGTTCGAGATGCGTTAAACTGTAAATATCTAACAAGACTGCTCGTATCAGTGCGAAGCCCTGAAAGTTCCGACTGCCTTGTAACGTTTATAGAGCAGTAATAACAAGCAACATAAAAAAAATTGAATGAAATAAAATAAAATGAAAAACTTTTTTTTTCTAAACTTTTAAAATTTTTCTATGAATTTTATCCCCCACACGCCATATAAAGTACAAAACAATAGATTTTGCTTCTTGTAACAAATCAATTATGGCAAATAAGCTTCCTTCAACCAATTTGGAACGATTTCTAAGACGGATTAAATCTACGCTTACGCGTTAACAGCGCGAATTATATCGCGCGTTAATTATATCAAATTGGTCAAAATGGCAATCTTTAAACCCCCATAACTTGACGAAAAATGATCACAGGTGGAATATCTTTTCAAATTTAAGCTCAGGAAAACAATAGCTTTCGAATGATATAAAAAAATTGTCAAAACGGCTAGTTAAAAAGTCGAAATTTCTCTGAAGAAAAAAACCCACCCCGAGCACAAATATTCCGTTACTTTCGTATCGGAAGTCGGACAATAAAACGATACGACTTTTTGTGTAGTCCCATCATTGACTGAAAATTATCTAGCGCACAATTCTTTCTAAGGGATTTCGTTAATAATTTAAGAATTAAGAATCCAAACAACTCAATTGGTATGAAAAACAGAAATTTATTCTTATGTCCTGTATTGAATCTGTCCTCTTTATACGAAAAATTATACTGATTATTCTTTTAACTTTAGCTGCAAGTCGCCTTATTGATGTTATATCTGTATTGGGGTAAGCAAGAATTCTGTATTGTAAAACCGGTTGTATGTGAGTTTGAACCAGTTTTGCCGAGCTTAAGTACTTGCGCAGTTGATTCATCAACCCGCAAGGTTGGAGCAATTTGTTTGCTACCTTTTCTTTGAAAGTGATAACTAAAAATTGAGTCCACAAGTACTCCGAAAAACTCAACAATTTGAGCTTCGTCAAACTTCTTATTATTGAATAAAATACAGTCTGATGTTCGCCCGGTTATTTATTTTTTTTTCAAGCATGATTACTTTAGTTTTGTCGCTGTTTAGTGTAAGTTGACTTGATAGAGCCATTTGTTGGTCTCATTCATGCCTGTTTGATGTTTCTTCGTTGACTGTGGATATCTGTCAATAATTTTAATGACTGTATCACCTGCATAGAGAGCCTTGCAATACTCCACTTTTAGCCTCAAGTAGTGAATAATGGTAGTCTTTAAATTTTATAAACTGCATACGACCTCATGTGAACAATTCCTCAAAAGCCCAAGTCGCGGAGTTAATGAAAAAAAGAAATTGTCACCGTATCAAACGCTTTTTTCAAATTTAAAAAAGTTCAGAGTTCAACTAATATGCTGACTTTTTAATTATTGTTTCAATTACTCCATTAGCTATACAATTGCATCTACTGTGCCTCTTTTCTCTGGTAAACCGAACTAGTTACCTAACAACAAAATACAGCTTCCAACGAATTGCTTCATTCGATTGTAATTTAGTCGTTTGAAGTCTTTTTCAATTACCGGCAATAAGGAAATGGTCTGAAAATTATTGGGTCTTTCTTGCTGTCTCCTATATGAATTGAGATAAATTTTGAAACGCAACGTTTAAGCATTTAGGAAAAATAGCTACATCGAAGCAGTCATGTTGAAAAAAAAAGTTAATTGCGGAACCACTTGAAATTATAATGAATAATATTGGAGATGAACCTTCAAAATCAAGTTTGAATGGATAAAAATTTCGTTCGGAAGCACAAATATCAATTTTTTTCTGGTTTTTTCTTGTTTGCTAGAAAGCAATGTGTAAAAAAATTGGTCAAAATGGAAAAATGATTTCAAGAACAAAATGGAAAAATAGTTGAAAACTGTGAAGACATGAAATATTTTGATTGCTGGAAGACCATTTAAATTTCTATCAAAATAATTAGATTAAAATTATAGTAGAAAAATTTTTATTCGTTTTATGGACAATTTAAGTATTCATTTCAAATTTTAAATGGGACATGACTGAATTGAACTATTAAATGTGTACCTGTATATGGGTTCCATCTGTGTGTTGAAGCTGGCGAGCAAATCCCTCGCATTGTTAGTCTTCGCTTCCATCTCACCCACATCTCGACCACAAAAAGTGCACACCAGTCGGGCTTCGCCTACCGGAAAAAAAAACACCTCCATTGGACTTTTCATCAACTTAGTGTAGACAATTATATTTGAGCACAGGATTGAATATTTAAAATAAGCATTTAAATAGAACTTTCTTGTTGTTTAGGCAGCAACCAGCACCACTCAGCGATTGATCAGCGACATAGATATCAGAGGCACTGGTAATTTGAAAGAAACTAAGAAAACTCCTTGCCGCTATTAGAGAAACAACATGTGTTAACTAGATCTAACTGGTACAATTAACCTCGTTTTCAAAAAGGAGGAAGATGGCGAGATCGCTGTATGAAGTAATGAATCAGGTTTTTTAGGATCCAAAGACTCCTCTCAGAGATTTGACAACAACGCATTTTTCCCCTCAAAACATACTTTTTTTCGTCAAAGCAGAAAATGTTTGGAAAAAAGGATCGTTGTAGTGTTTTCGGAGAGATCGATATACCAGTTTGGTCGTCCTAAACAAAGATCGACACAATTTGTTTGAAAATCACCCCCATAAAAATCCCAGATCCGCCCCACCCCTAACACGAATAACAAACGAGTATACAGGACTGTTCACGGACTCGCACCTGTTTCGAAGTCAATGGAGGACAGATCGGCCAATTTATCTATGTCGAACTCGGTGTACGTCTTGCTGCATGCCTCATTACTGCACTTGTAGACTGCCTTGCACGAGTCATCTCTCTCCTGCGCCTCAATCCTCTTCTGCATCATGTGCAGTTTGTACTTGACCACATTGACGAATGCCTTGTAGTTGATGTAGTAGTAGAGCTGCTTCACCGACTTCCCATCCTGGCCTGTCTCTATTCTAAACTGAACAACACTCTTTCACTCTTAACTCAACAACGCTCTTATTATTATTAGCCCCCGCTCCTGCTCAGTGCAGGGCCAACCGTGGGGGAGGGAGATGACAATGGGAGAACAACTCTCAATCACACTACATGATAATACTTAGAACAACTTTTATTTAAGCATTCATCAGAATGTTCGAATATTTTAACTATTTCACCCCTTTTGCAATGTGGGGGGAATCGTTACTAAGTACAAAATCCACATATGCTTGACCGTTGACTTTTTCTGCACATGGATGGCAATTCGCTACTGGGCACCATAGGATGGATAGTTAAAAAAATCAGAATATCAAAACTCGAATTCAAACCGAAATCGAAAATATTTGCAGTCGCAGCCTTTTGGTGTATGAATTGTGAAAACGATGCAATCTAAAAACAGATTATTGGCGCAAACAGGTCAATCTACCTGAGGAAAGAAAGATTTGGCATAGCTATAGGCAAAACAAAGCGTTTTCATGATATCAACGTAATGGCGCAATAACTGAAAAGAACGCCCATTAGTCGATAAATTTGCACAAGATTTGTTTATTCATTCAGATTGAGCTTCGTATAAATTGGGGGTCACGCTGTGCCGAGTAGCAGCTGATACTTTTGGTGCATTCCAGTTACCAAAAAAAATAATTTTTCCAGACTTTTTAATGTTTGTTCGAATTCTTTGGCGTTTTGAGGAACAGAGGCGTGGTTTGAAGCATAAATAACCTTCACAAGTTCATAACTGTTAGTTCAAATTAACAAGAATTGCTATCTTCGACTATTTACACTAAGGCTTCAAAAAAGAAAAATTCAAAAAATATCGTTTTTAAATAACTTTTTCAATTCTTCTTTGAGAGGTTGGTAGAAGGATGGTGCATATGACTAAGAGGCGAAGCTGTAATTCTCAAATAGAGACAACCGAGAGGAAAAAAGAATCTCTAAAAATTTTATGAAATACGGAAAAATCACCTTATAGAAAATAATCCCACAAAACCTCGTGGGTCGAAGTTCCTTTTTTCACTTGTGCGTCATAGGCAAACACTTAGACGGTCCACTGAACCACTATACTATAGAGACCTTATGAGGAAGACTCTCATGCAGTTAGGCTTCGCACAATTGAATCACATTTTTAATGGACCTCCACGCTTCATTTGCGCGGAAAAAACCTACTATTAAATTGCCTAACAGCAATTGAGATGTACTCACAGATATTGAAGTTGAACACAAAAATCGAACACAATAAACTGCAAAAATTGAACACAAGAACAGAAGGTTGAAAAAAATGAACTACTTTTATACCGACATATATATATATATCAAACACAGATAAATTGGTTTTCATTAACAAACGAATTGTGAAAACGAATGCATGATTCTGTTAGACAAATTGTTCTCTGGAAAAGAAGTAGATGTTCCGCTTCGTTAACGTTTGCATTAACAGATAAGATAAATTAATATGCAATAAAAACATTTCCATCTCGCTCTCATTTGATTCAAACAAGGAGAAACGTAAATTTGTAATTAGGGACGGCGATAGAATAAAACTAGCGGCATTGAGTCGAAACTTACCTCAACCGGTCCTTGAGAAAATGTTCCGTCTTCAGTCTAGCCAGAACAATTCTCAACATCTTCCTGTCAAGTTTCAACACTTCATGCAACTGTGTCTCATTCATAATCGTATTCCTCAGCAGATAGTCGAGTACAATTGAGTCTTCCTTGTGAGAGTAGAATGCACGGGACACTTTCTGTACCAGTTCTTTCAATTCATCGGGCACCTCTCGGACTACTTGCTTGGAGCCGTATATTGACATCATAAATCTAAAAACCATCAAGCAACATTTACAAAAAAAATAATGTTTTGTTTCTACTGGGAGGTGTTCAAACAAGCTTTATAAAAAATATAGTAATAACTTAAACAACTTACTGCGACTTTCAAACCCTTGAATACTATTTTCACGTGAACATTCTGCCTGAACATTCATCTGAACACCTATTTTTCTTGAATATTCTGCGGTTGAAAAACTTTCCTCGAAGTTTTTGAGTTTTTTCTTTTGAACACGTTTATTATTGATGTCTCAATTGTTGCCCCAATAGGGCGATAAACGCTTTTGTTCCTGTAGCGTGGCAAAGTTAAGAACACAAAAACAAAAAACCGTTAACCATTCATGAGGATTTATCCACGCGGTAAAGTACCAAAACATACGTCACTCCGAAAAAGCTTTATATAACTGATGTTAAAAAATTTTTGCGGCTATAATCACAAGCATAAATACCTGCATCGATCGTTTTGCACCGTTCGAAAATCCCCTCAAAAACAAAAACGAACCATGATCAAAAAACGTATTCGATGTAATTTGAACAAAAGGGACAACGCCCTCCAAAAATGTTCTTAAATCCAAGTAAAAACAATCGCAACACATATGTTAAATTAAGGAATGAAGGGATAAAACAAAATCGCTTAAGAAATAAAATAAAAAATAATGAGAAAAAATACAAACTTAAAAACAGTTTATCATGCTCTGAAGAACGCACAAAAAAAACCTAACTGAAAAAATGATTCGCCTCCAAGGTATACTTAAATCAGCATTTTACATGTATCGGAAGGCAGTTGTATGAACAATTACCTAACATTGATGTGATTGAACCAAAATTTTATTCACTGATGTAGAAGTCTCAAAAATCATTTAACAAATAAAAAAATCTTGGTCATGAAGATCTGAATAAGCATATTCTTAAACTGTCTTCACCGGTCACTGATGAACACCTAGCCTTCGCTTGAAAATCAATGAGCGCACCTTCTCCAATTGTCTTAAAATGGCTAAAGTTCGTTCTTTAAATAAAAAGGGAATATGAAAGAGCTCAAAAATTTTAGACCTACAAGTCTTTTCAGCTCGCTGAGCAAATTTTTTGAGACAATCTTGTTTTTGCAAGTTGCAGCTAAATTCAAAGCAACAGTTCCGTTTCCGTTCAAAACACTCGTGCAATGACAGAAATGACAAAGTTTGCGCGGAATGCGAAAGAAGAAAAAACAGGTTATGCGATCTTCATTGTTATTTTAAAAAAGCGTTCGTTAATTTAGTTCATCAATTTATTTTTAAAAAAAGTTGTGATGCTTTAGTTACAGAAGATCAATAACTGAACTACGTAAAAGCAACTAAATTAATCAGTGTCAATACGTTACTGAAAATGATCTCTTTGGAAATTCTGCCAATAACTGGAGTCCCACAGGGAGCAAACTTAGGACCTTTTCTGTTTTTAATAAATATACAAATGATCTTTAAAGCAATGTCAAACTAGTGAAGTAACACTTTCTGCTGATGATACGATTATTGTCAATTCTAGTAAACAATTTTCTGAGAATAAAACAGCTAGTCTAAAATCAGTCAATGATTCGTTTTTTTTTGCTCATACATTATCAATCAACTCATCTTAAGGTGGAGTGATATCATGTGGAAAGGTACAGATGTTGGAAGTATATATATGTGATGAAGAATTACCTCTAAAAAAATCATGCAGACAATTAGGTGTTCACATTGATAGCCACTACTATTTGATGATAACATAAATCACGTGGTTAAGAATTTAAATCGTTTCTGTAGCGTGATCTAAAAAATATAAGATACTAACCTGCAAAGGTCCTCCGGTACTTCTAACAGATCAATGAACGTGAAAATTGCTTTTTAAAAAAACATACAAAAACACGAAATGAATGCAACCGTAACAAAAGAAGGGATCATCGAAAAACGTTTTTTATTTCAAAAATTGAACAATAAAATTAATTTCAACTCAAAGGTTCTTTTAAACAGGGAAGGTCAAATCTCCAAAACCAATGGGTTTCAGATCACGTTCCATATTTTAAAAAATGTATAACAATTGCTACCAACGAACATTAATCCAGCGCATATCATTACATCAGTCTCTTTTATCTTAGTTTAATTCTTAACTTGAAAACATGAAATCTTAAAATTGAGCCACAAAATTAGGATAAAACCAAATCTGCAACTGCTGGAAGAAAGCTGACAGCACCCAAAAAAGGGTCGACCATCTCAAACATTTAGTAATTTTTTTTTAAAACGTTTGATTTTTTTTTCAAAATCATAACTACATCATATCTAGGAATGTAAAAGGCGTTGAGAAGTCACATTTGGAATCCAGATATGAACCTTGACAGCCATCAAACAGTAATGAGAATGTTAGATTTTGTGAAGTTTTTTTTAAGTATAACTGCTGAAAATTTCTACTTCTGAGAGTACCCTGACAGCACCTAACTACAGGGTTGGGATTTTCAAACATTGGTAAGTTCATTGAATCTAAGTTTTCCTAATTTTTAATTCACCAAAAACGTCATCTCGAAAAGTAAAAACATTTCATCAGTCACATTTGGAGATCAAATTTGCAATACCTGAAAGTACACTGACAGTATCCAATTACAGGGTTACGAAAATCAAATTTGTGGAGTTAAGGAAATGTATGCTTTCTCAAAAACTTTGAAAAAAAACGTCAGCTCTTGGAAACTGAAAGCCTTTCAGCACTCACATTTGGAGTCGAGATTTGCAACCCCTGAAACTACCATGACAGTACCCAACTACAGGGTTGAGAAGATCTTTTTTGAGTTTATTAAATCTAAGTTTTCTGAGAATTTTTTTAAAAAATAATAAAAAACGTTATACCTCGGAAACTAAAAGCCTTTGAGTAGTCACATTCGGATACAAGATTTACAGTACCCACCTAACTACAGGGTTGGGAATTTCAAAGTTTTTGAAGTTTATTAAATAAGTTTTCTGAAAAAAAACAGGTCGTATCTCGTAAACAGAAGGATTCGTATGCAATATCGCAAACCCTGGGAGAAAATTGAGAGCAACTTACTATTGACTAACCAATTTCATACTTGGTGAAATAAACACTGGAAAAGCAAAAAAAAATTAACCATTGCACTATACGACTTAGCTTAAACCTGCAAAAATAAAACGTTTAAAAAAACTTAACATAGCGAGATCGTAAAGACCGCATTTAAATATATTATAGATAATAGATTTACCCAAACAAATATCTCCTATTGTACTATTCTTATGTAAAAAGCACATTAACATTTGGCTTTTGATCCACTCTTATGGCTCTTGATATTGGCACTGTTCGCGAACCATTTATCGTTGAGGTTCTAAAAAAAACTTTCTAAACGTCTTATTAATACTTCCCCTCATGCTTGTATGATATAAAACGAACAAACTCGCCGTTATCATTCAAAGTTTAAGCAAAAGGTTTCACATTCAAATATCCTAATAAAAAATGAACGAAAGACAGGACTCTACAAAATCTACTTAACAAATCCTGTAATTGGGCAAAACTGTTGAATCTCGTTCAGGCAAAAATATAAAGGCTAACTTCTCTAAAAATTATTCAGCTTATAAAGATTATTGAAAAACTTTTAACTAAGAAATAATTAAGAAATTAAGGACAATTTCTTCAAGTTGATTCCGTAAATCATGATTCTATTCAGGTCAATCCTTACGAAGTCTCAAACTGGAAACGCTTGTTAGCTCAATTTAAGTCCTTTACGAAAAAAAATGTTTTACAGTATGTATGTTTTTGATTATTCGACTAAATTCAAATTCCAAATAAGCACTACAGCTCATTACCAAGACTCGCTTTTGTCGTCATAGTTAGATGCAAGATTAGATGCAAACATTTCTGATTTTTTTTTCTGTGAGATCTGTTGCCTGACAATCAAGCAACGTAGATTGCCTTGCACTCCAACGTTTTACTTTCTGATTTATAAATGGATACTTAGTCATTACCCCATCGCTCCCCCCAATCTGGGCTATTTTATCTTGAAAATTCGTGCGCCTTTGTTTTGAGATGTTAAATGGTTCATGTTTAAAATGTTTTTATACCTATTGATTTAGACTGAACATTTATTTTTAGTGCCTGGAGGAGTTGAGTTGAAATGAAAATTGTCATATTTGCAAAAATTAATCAACGTATTGAGTTAGGACTGGGGTGTATAACTCATAGAGTAATTTCGGATAGGGTACACCGTCTGCTCGTCACGCTATCTTATTTTCGGCCGGATAGATTCGTGCAACTTCTTAGTCTAATACCGATCCTAGTCTTACTCTTATACTATCTAGTCTCAGGTTGTTTAACTAGTCTCTGCTAGGCTCAATAGATCTAGGGTATACTGGTTTATTGCGGCTGCTGAAGTGCTCGGGAGAGTCCAACTAATTTCTAAGTTAAATTCAAATCTCTCTGGTGCTGAAATTACAAGTAACTTCAGCACTTACAAATAAGTGGGTTGTTAGTTAGATGGATCATGATTGGTTAATATTAAATACTTTACATTGGTAAAACATTTAATTTATCCAATCATAAAATATAGTTTAGATCAGGTTCCACCCATCCGGGTTTTACAGAGTTTTTTAGAATAGTTTTTCTGCAATTCAAAGGATGGATGATGGACGTTGGTGTTTGGCGAACATCATATTTCTTTTGTTTCCTTTTTGTTAAAGAAGTTCCAGGAAGCTGGAGTTAGATGACATAAGACGTTGGGTCTTCTAGTGGCAACGACTAAGTCTTTGCAACAAATTCAAATCTGATTTCAGAATGGTTTGCTATGTCAGGTTTTTCTGTTCTGCGTGGAGAACTTCTTTTGTGTCTGATCTAGTTTGGGAATGGCGTGGAGATTGTGCGTGGAGGGGATGCCTGGTTACTCGGATCTGTACGTATACTTGAACATCGAGGTGGTCATTGGTCTAGTTCAATGAAGTCCTTTTCTGCGAGGTCAAGTCGTACTCTAAATCCTTTGAGTTGTGGTTGTG